CATCAATCAGCGTGATGCTGCTGCGATCGGTAGCGTCGACGGACTACAGCATCGAGACTCTGCCGTTCACAACAACGTCTGCAGGCGATCGTAGGGGAGTACTGTCGTTGCTCACGACGACATCTCCGATGTGTTCTCCGACGACGACGACGCGACGAAGGACAACAGAGAGAAAGACGAGAGTGAGAAGGGAGAGACGAGAGGGATAGGGTGGGAAGAGACACTTATGTGGAGATGAATGAGAGAGGGGATTGGAAATTAGGGTTTTAATTATTAATTTAATTGAAACATGATTTTTGATTAAATAAACTTTACACTTGATTTGTGAATTTAGAAACTTAAACACCTAATTTTTTGTAATTTCCCCTAAATGTATTTTGGGTATAAAAAGCCCACTAATTGTGGCGTCCATATCCCTAAAATAAGATATTCATCAGCTCAATTCACCTTGTTGGCAAATATGTCCGTCTAGGCAGACCAATAATTATTTTGGTTGGTAAATGTTGTTAGGCCATATTCCCCACCAAAATTTTTGGGGGTACTTACAAAAATACCTTTAAAATTAGGGGTATTTTGAAAAATCATATAAAAGATTTTTTGGAAGTAAAAAATATTGTGTAAAATGAAAAAGTGACACAATGTCACTTTTTTAAAAAAAGTAACACAAACTTAAAAAAAGTGACACACACATTCAAAAAGTGATACAAATCAAAAAAGTGACAAATACTACAGATGGCAAAAAAATCGGCCCCGCCCCGCCCCAAATGGGGCCAAAAAAATCTGCCCCAAAGGGCGGGGAGGGGATGCCCCCCCCCCTGAAAAAAAATTTTTTTTTGAAAAAAAAAAAAAAAATAAAAGGAATAAAAAGTCNTGTCAGTGTCCAGCGATAGTACCTTTCACAAGTTTACGTTCCAAGAAGACGCAACCTCAGCAGAATAAGTTCGATTAAAAGAAGAAAATATTAACAATAAACAATTATTATTTTGTTTCTTTACTTAATTGTCATCTCTCGACTCGACTTGATTTGAATCATTTTTAATGCAAGGCACAAAAACTATTTTTTAAGGATGACAAACACAATGCTTGACAGGTAATCCAATCTTTCAAACTTCTTTTCATTTCAATTTCAAATTTCTAAATAAAAACCTTTTTCTGTTTACACACTTAATCTTATTAAATTTTCATTTATTGCATGCCCATTTTATGAAGAAAGTTGTGAAAATATTTGAAAAAGACGACTCTGCACCGACAATTTGTTTGCAAAATGTACGAAAATTCGTTTCATAACTTTTAGGGCATTTTTGATAGGCCATTATTTTCCTAGAAAATGGAAAACAAATTCCAACTTCCACTTGACACGCTTTTTTTCTATGGAAAAAAATTTCTTGGTTTGACTCACATGCTCACATTTTTCTTGATTTTTTGGAAAATCAATTTCCGCCGATTTTCCAGCTCTTTTTTTTTTTTTTTTGGCATTTTATTTTATCGCTGTACTGGTTGTAATTACTTGAAATACGAATATCAGTTTGTTTACAAAATTGGGAGTAAAACAATTTTTGGTTCTGAGCTTAACTATAATAATAGCAAAATAAAAAAAAAATGACGGGGCAACAAACTGGGCAAGCCTCCGTCCCGTCCAGTCCAGTCCCCGTCAGGATTGGGGCATGGCGGGGCGGCGCCCCACTACCATCCCTAACAAATACTTAAAAAGTGACAAAAAAACACCAATCAAAACATATGTTTTTTATTCAAAAAAGTGATAGAAATTTTTAAAAAGTAACAAAGAATAAAAATTTAGAAAAGTGGCAGAAAAAAATGAAAAACACTCAAAAAAGTTACAAAACACACAAAAAAGTGATAAAATTGTCACTTTTTTTTAAAAAGTGAAAAAAGTGACACAAGTCACAATGTCACTTTTAAAAGTTTAGCTTCATTTTTTACAATCTCATTCTTATTAAAAAGTGATTGAAATTTTAAAAAGACAACTAAAAAAAAGTGACAAACACTAAAAAAAGTGATAAATACTAAAAATGTGACAAAAATTTTAAAAAGTGACATAAATTTTAAAAAGTGACTAATTTAAAAAAATAACGCATTAAAAAAAATTGCACACATTCAAAGAAAAGTGACAAACACTTGAACTTCCCCCTTGATATTAATCTTGATTGTAGGAACCATTACTTTTACATGATGAGAATCAAATTCAGAAAAGAAACAAATAAATGAATAAGCAGATTATGTGCCTTCTAACCAATACTAGATTGGTTGGCATTGTTGTCCTCTCTTCTAGTTCTGGACTTAGCTTTAATAACGAGAGGCTTAGGTTGGTGGCAAAGGAAAGAGACACTCGAAACAAACATTTGGATGAGAATAAGCTCTGCCCAAGCAGCATAACGAGATGGTACCATTATCCCTTGAACGTATGTATAGTTATCTGACTGGGAATAGAGGACAACTTTCATGGAAAAAAGCACACCAGAAAATCCCACAGCATATTCGTTGTAATATGCTCTCTCGTACTCGAAAAGCAAAGGAAATTTAGCTAGCAGTAGTGTCATTCCTTGGGACATACCGACTAAAGTGGCAATCATAGATGCTTATTCAACACTTCCCATTGAATTCTCCAACTGGATTCCCTTCCATAATAGTGATAACATATATTATAAACAAGGTGAGAGTCGCCAATGTGATAGAATGCTGACAAGAGAAAGCGCTTCACATCCTTGTGCAGTTCCAACAAAATGGAAATTAATCATATGAGAAGACAAGCATAATAGGGACAATTACGCCTAATTCCTAAAGTTTCAAAAAAGTCTCAGAAAGGGACAAGGCTCCACATCCCCAGTCACAACCGAAGGTAATAGGAGATGCCAAACCTCAAAAAATAAATAAGGATAAGCAAATAAGTTTTTTTGGCTTAATTTTTTGGAAAAGCAATTTTCTTTAAAATATATATATATATATAGGCCTTGTATGGGAGGATTAAAATCGGATTAAAATTGAAAATATAACCGTTATTATTGACTTTTATTAGACGAGTGGACCCAATAACGGCCATATTTTCAATTTTAATTGACTTTTAATCCCTTTCGAACGGGGCCATAAGATGTATCCAAACACATTTAGAAACAAAAAATTTACTGAAAAGTGACTCTTTCTTCTTCTCGAGCTTAAACAAGCATGATTTCATCCCCACCACCATCCATTATTGAGCTGCCACCATCAGTCCATGCCATAGCTCAACTGCAACAACACTACAGCCACTCCCAACAACCCCATGCCCCACATGGCCGGATGAGAATAACAGTTATTGTTGTAACCCCAACAGTCAATTCACCACCATTTCTGCCACCAAATTTGGATAGCAGCATTCCAAATTCCAGCAGATGTAACACCAATGCTGACAGCTTGTGGGTATCTCGGTTTGGAATCCAGTTTCACTTCCACCGGCTGTACCTCTACCACCAGTGGTTTCACCGCCAGCACTTCCACCGGTTATACCTCAACCACAAGCATCCTCTGCACCTGTCCAACAGCCACCACCAACACCAGCTCTAGCAATAAAGGCACCCGCTTCCGCTTCCGCTCCCGCAATACCCCCACCAATTCCACCACCTACGGCACCACCAGCGCCAATGCCGCCACCACCACTACCTATAGCGTCACCAGCCCAGCACCAGATTTGGTTCTCCCACCTTTCAAGAATGACAGAATCGTGGTTTTGGGTTGATTTGGGGGCTTCTCTTTGTAATCTATTGGTTTGGGGCTTTTAGGTTTTTTGGGGGGATTTTGGGGTTGGGGACGTATTATACTATTATTTACAGTTATTAAAGGTTTTAATTTTGTTAAAGTGTATTAATCTAATTTGTTCCCTTTTTACAGTAACTGGCCTAATTTCCTCAATTTTTGGCCCAAAAATAAGTATTCACCTACCCTTTCATCTAGTCAAAAAACATGTCCGCCCACTAATTATTATTTTGGTCAGTAAATATCACGGAGCCATAATCCCCGTCAAAAATTTTGGCCCAAAAAAAAAGATATTCACCGACCATTTTCATCTAGTCGTCAAATGTATCTCATCTACGCCAATTAATAATTATTTTAGTCGACAAATATCGTGTCGCCATAATTCCCACCAAAAAATTTGGCCCAAAAATAAGATATTCACTGACCATTTTCATCTACACAGAAAATGTATCTCGTCTACAACGACTAATAATTTTTTTGGTCGGTAACTGTTGTTTTTAGTGGTTGATTTTTTGGTGTAATGGAAAAAACTGATTGGCAAATACGATCTTTCTTGACTATTTCTATTGGTAGGGAAAACTTTGGTCGGAAAAGATATGGCCGACTAAGTATTTATTAGTCGTTAAAAGAGTATTTTTACCGACTGTTTTTTGTTGGTCGGGAAATTCCATTAGGATGAACTATAGTTTCTTATATGTGTGTTTTGGTATCTGCGGACAGAATAAAATGCTTCCAAATGTCAGGGGTTTAAAATGAGCTTAATGGGACTTAAAAAAAAACAGTAGAGAATTTGGTGT